GAAGTGAAGTGAAGTGAAGTGAAGTGAAGTGAAGTGAAGTGAAGTGAAGTGAAGTGAAGTGAAGTCGAGTGGAGCGGAATGGGATGTGGTGGAGGAGAGTTGAGTCGAATCGAGTGAGGCGGGGCGGAGTAAATGGAGGGGAGGTGAGTCGGATTGGTTTAGACTTGGGCGGGGCGGGATGGGATGTGACATGAAAAGTAAGTGGGAAATATGGAGTCGGGATTGGGGCGGGGGGCGTGGGGAGTGTTGAGTGGTGAGGAGGTAGTAGTTATGCGATTAAATGTTAGTGGATTGTGGTCCGTCTGTTTACTCGAGAAAACCAATTTAGTCTGGTCTTGCCACAGTTGAGAGCGTTTCCATGTCAATCTATGCAATTAAGTGGTTTCCAATGCCATGCGACTTGCAACGTCTGCCCTCGTCCGGCCTGGCGTGAGGACACTTTGTCTGCTTACTTTGGCCGGACAGCCCAAATGCCGTCTCCCACATCATCGCGGTCTTCGGCGCGTTGACGACGATTCGACTCGACACTCTCTCCACGACGTCTCGTCCAGAGACAGCAGATTTGTTTATACAATCACCGACAAACCAACAACAAATCACAAACCACGACATGCAGCATAAAAATACTGCTTAGTAAATGCCTACCAACAGTCAATAGTGAAAAATCAAGCACTAAACTTCAAATCCCAAATAATAAACAACAACAAGTTTTAAATGTCAATACAAAATAAAGAATAAAATAAACAAAAATCGGATATTACAAAATTGTAAAACTCCTACCAACAGTCCACAGTCAACAAACAACAACCAACCAAAAATATAGAGAATGCAAACCAAAAAACGCCAACTACAAAAAACTGCCATCACCAACACCTAAGCAACAATCAACAACGCACAACCAACAATAACTCAACGCCAAATATCTACAAACAGTCATGAAACAACAACCAGCCACCAACAGGCAAATTTGAACAAAAAACAAGAAAAAACAATAAATATATATCATCCAGAAAGGTACAATGACCAGCCGCTAACCAACAATTAGCAACACTCAATCACCAACGCATAATCGCCAAAAATTTACCAACAGCCTACAACCAACAACCGACTACAATAAACTGCCACTACCAACAACTAAGCGACAATCAACCACTCACAACCAACATCGAATTTTCGCCAAATATCTACAAACAGTCAAGATACAACAACCAGCCACCAGAAGCGAATGCCAACAAAAAAGACAAACAATAAACATATATCACCCATGAAGACACAACCACCAGCCACTAACCAACAATTAGCAACACTCAATCAACAAGGAATAATCGCCAAATATTTACCAACATCCTACAACCAACAACCGACTACAACAAACTGTCATCACCAACCCCTAAGCAACAATCAACAACTCACAACCAACAACGATTCATCGCAAATATCTACAAGCAGTGAAGAAATAACAATCAGACATCAGAGCGAATTCCAACAAAAAACAAGAAAAAAACAATAAGAATATATCACTCAGAAAGGTACAATCACCAGCCGCTAACCAACAATTAGCAAGACTCAATCAACAACGAATAATCGCCAAATATTTATCAACAATCTTCAACCAACAACCAAATACAATAAATTGCCATTACCAATACCTAAGCAACAATCAATAACTGACAACTAACAACGACTTATCGCAAAATATCTAGAAAAAATTATGAAACAACAACCAACCAACAGAAGCGAATGCCAACAAAAAAAAGAAAAAACAATAAGTATATATCACCCAGAAAGGTACAATCACCATCCCCTAACCAACAATTAGCAACACTCAATCACCAACACATAATCGCCAAATATTTGCCAACGGCCTACAACCAACAACCGAATACAATAAACTGACATCACCAACACCTAAGCAACAATCAACAACTCAAAACCAACAACGAAATATGCGCTTTCCTTAGGTCTGACGTTCTATAATTCTATCAGTCCTTCGGTCCGTCGCCATTTCGATCTGTCGTTGTCTCATTCTCTCGTTCAATCAGTCATTCGGTATGGAGCGAATGCCAACAAAAACCACCCAAAAGCGATTAACAGCCATTACCCACAAACTTATTTTCACCAGCTAGCTACCAACAATCAAAAACTCAACCAACATCGACTAATCGCCAAATATTTGCCAACAGCCAACAACCATCCATCAAACCCAAAATCTCAAAATCCCAAAATCCCAAAACAACAATAAACATCGAACGACATCCACAAACCAATAATAAATAACAACCAGC